CAGCAGGATTAGAGTTTTAGAAATGCAAGAGCAACAGAACTCACAAGACTAAAATTTGCTCCCATTAACAGTAAAAGCCTCTCATGGTCCCAGCCTGCTGAGAATTCAGCCCGATTCGGTCTGCCAAATACCACTCACAGTCAGAAATCAAGGATTAAGTTTTCTTAGAAGATTTCTCAGCTGGAGTGATACATGCATATTTTAGGAGTTTTTTTTTTTCTTTAAGACTGCTTTGGACTTCTTCAAATATTATGATCCATCATCTGCTTTATATTCAGGCAGTAGGTTTGTGTGTGTGCATGCACTCACACGCATGCATGCATACAAGGGGCAGATATACGTGTGTATGTTTGCATGTGTGTACACAGGGGAAAAACACGTGTGCACACATGGAGATACACACCCAGATCGGACAACACGTGATCTAGATTTATTGAACACAGTTGAAATTAACACCTTACTCAAGTATATTTACTTCAAATGGGCTTCTTTGCAGAGAAGAAGCAATACTCATATGACACTGACCTCTGGATATTTATTCTATGTATTGTGGTAGCACACATGAGACTCCAAACCAGTTATGCTGCACAAAAAGAATGAAAAAAGCAAAACCAAACAGTCCTGGCTCCAAAGAGCTTATACCTGCCTAGTGAGAGGGTTGCAATTAATAAGTACCAACCCCATGCTTCCAGGTCTACATTTTTGAGAGGTATTCACCTGATCAGAAGCATACGCCACCAGCCTGCCCAAGACTTCTGCTTCTGTTAGTTCAGGCTTTTCTGACTGCACTCGTCTGATAGTTTTTGTTCTTGCAGCAAGCAGTGACATCAGTGTGGCTTCACTGGCACTTCCCTGTGGGATAAATCAAAAGAAGGTTCAACAGGAGGTTCCAGAAGAAAACCAATATTTTCTTCTGCATGAATTTGAGAAATTGATAACTGAAACTGCATGAGAGAAACTGCACAAACTCACGGTTTTTAAGAGTACATGTGACAGCAAGGGAGGAATCCCTGTTTAATCTCTTTTTCCTCCCTCTTGTGCCTCTGTTTGTTTGTTCTCTTCAGTTTAGGATCAGCCTTGCAATCAAACCATAAAAATGGGCTCATAGACCTAAGAGTATGGGAAAAGGCTCTCCAGAGTCAGATACCAATCATTTGTTAACCAGGAACAATTGTGGAGTAACTGTTGATTTCTTTTACTTTAGGTTTCCAATCATTTAACTTCAATTAGAATCTTACTCTCAGCTCTTATTTCTTTCAGGCAACATCTGTAACTATAAAGCTTATTTAATCTTTAGAGTTACTCTGCACAAAAGTCCATTATTGTGGCCAAAAAAGAAAGGCACTGAGAAAACATAAAAGCTGTGACTCAAAATAGCTGACTACTTTTCAAAGTATTAGTTACCCACCTTCTCTTCATCCAAAATACACAGATGAAAGGAACAATCACATAGTATTTTTTAAATTGCAGTTTGACTCACAAAATATAGGGGTTTTAATTGTGCCTTGGATATTCTGTGACTATAAAGAGGGGAATTTTTTATATCTATTGATCTGTAAATTTCACAAGAGAATACTTGTTCCCGCAATTTTTTTTTGGTATGTTTTTCCCCTAGTGCAGGCAGATGAAACATGCTGTAAACTGGTCTTTTAAACTGTAACAGTTTTTAAACACATGTTCAGAAATTTCAATGTTCTTGGGTGTCCATAAGCAACAAAGAGATTTTAGGGACTTTTAAAGTTGAGCAATTGTCATGTGAATCTTCCCCTGCCAAGTAGATAACACTGCAATGAATACTGTTGCTTATGCTAATAAACATGTCTCCAAAATATCCCCAGCGTCAACAAGCTAATTTTGTGGTGATTTTCCTTATTCTGTACCAGAATTCGAGCCTCTCTCTACTGAAGACCAGAGCACTTACTATTTACAACAAATATTTAAATATTTAAGAAGTCTATTTCTTTCCTGGAGATGGGCCTGATCCTAAAGGTTTCATGCATTCTTGGTCATGTGAATGATCTCAGTAAACTCAGATTTTCTCCTAATGAACACTGAAGTTAGCTGAGCTATTCATCCAAGACAGAGGTGCCTTCTAGACATGTCAACATCTCAACAGTGAGTAAGCCCATTCCAGCTGAAATTTAACAGCCTCATGAATGGATTAAGTACGAGAAAGAACAGTGCCTAAACGTTTACTAAATGCACTGCCACAGTGAAGATATTTTATCTGCCTTTCCATGGGTGTGAGATTTGAGGAATGTAGATCCCAGGGTCAGTAGCAGAGCCCAAAGACAAGCAGGAGACAGTTTTGTGCACTCCTGGCTGCCACGAACACATCATTATGGCAGCTGAGGGAAACCTCAGAGATGCAGAATAGCAGAGGAAGACAAATTTCCCTCTTAGGTCAAGTAAAGTAGCATTTACATGTGGAGGCCATGAGTGAAGGAATTCTGTCCATTAATTACAGAAACTGTAACACAGAAAGGTCTCCATTTAATGTTACTCTGCCTATGGTCTACAGTCACATAGTCAGAATACTTATCGGAGTATCTGAACACCTAGAAATCATGCATGTAGTAATTCTCAAAACTCATGATGTAAGACTGTGAGCACACTATTATCTTCATCTTTCATATGAAGGACTTCCAAGATGTGATTCTTCCTACTTTAGAAAAAGTTAAATTTCTAAAAAGCTAAATATCTGAGATAAAGTAACTGTTTAGGGTCCCTCAGTATTCAATGTAGAGAGGTAAACATATTCAGAAAGCAATAGTTCCATCCATTTAGGCAAATATCCTCAGCTGAGATAAATAACTTCTCTGAAAGTGCTTACTTGCATGTTCGACTTTTAGCTGACAAAATGTGAGATGAATCCAACCCAGTGCAAGTTTCCTGAAGAGAAACTTTTGTCACCATGTCTTTTGTTAGCAAAGCTATTTCTAACATGCTCAGCCCAATTATATCTAAATAACAGTGAAAAATGCTTGCACTCTTGCATCCTGGCTGTTGGTCATCCAGACTGATGCCTAGTCAGCATACACAGCAGCTCTTGCACGAGTTTCCCTGCATGGAAACAAGGAGGAACAGGAAAGGGCTTGCTGTTCAGCTGAATCTTACTTGATACAGAGTTCAGGCCTTAGGATGCCTGAACCCAGCAATTAGGAAAAGGATTCAGATGTCTCAGTATAGACACAGGTTCTTTTTCACCTTGCCTCAGTTTCCATTAGTCACCTGTCTTATGCTAAAGCTGACAGTGTTTGCAGAACCTGGCTCATAAGGCTATTCTCTTCACTTGGCACCAAAGTCTTGCACTGAATATTTTGGAGGAAAAAACGCCTTGGCTCTTGAATTGCTCTTGAATTACTCAGCTTACTGACAACAAACATGAATTAGGAGCATGTCTTGCCAAACCAGTGATAGGCTGAGTCTCATTTTGTTTCACTCTTAAAATACTTTTTCTTTGCAGAGCAAGAGAACCCTTTTAAAATTCAAAGTAGGTGAATTTTTCAGCATTTTATCTGGAATGAACAGCTATGTGCTATGTTCAGACAAGCTTCAGAAAGAAAGTTGCCTTCTCACTCATTTTTAAAAGATATTTTTTTCCCCTCTTGAATGCTGTACTCTGGATTAAGTGAAGGATGATGATACCTTTCCTTTTACTGCAAGCAAACAAAGGTTGCCATGGCAAGCAGGCTCAAGAGGCGGAAGAAATATCAGTGAGAGCTGATGCTCATGTCCACCAGAGCTCTGAAATGAAATTTTCTTTCATCTTTTGCCATTTTCAAGTGTCATCCTGCACACAACAAAGTGCTTCATATTGACATAGACTTTCAAATGTAATTAAGAGCCAATTTTCACAGGCTCAGTTTCACCCAATACAATAATTACTTGGTATTTACCAAGGGAATGACTGGCAGTTACACACACTCATGCCATCTTTGTCTCACCCTCTCTTACGTGTATCATTATTGTTTCAAGAACAAGATGTGAAGATCTGCAGCACAAATGGCTTCATCATAAGCAGGAGCACAGAGCACGCTTTCGATTCTTGAAGCCGACTGGTATCTGATGAAAATTATGGGCAATCCA